GAAATTTATTAATAGTCATTGCAAAGTGAACTATTTGGAGGAGTTGGAATTGTTATAATTCAAAGAGGTAGTCAGAGGGTAGAGAGTGGTACTCTTTATGAAGTTTTTATGAGTTGTTGTTCTATTCCCCTTAGATAGCTTAAGTGGGTTACGCATTACAGGTATGCCAACCTTCAGAAGGTTTGTAAGACGGGAGGCTTGATGAGATAACACTGTTAAGGAACTCCACAGAATAGTGAACTACTTCATCTATTTACATCACTGAGTCAACAGACCTATCTTTTATTCCTATCCCAAGACAGCAAGTCATAAAAACGACTGCTGGTATGACACAAGTATAGTATATGAGAATTGAGGAGTGGATAGTATTTTTGGATAGGGGACGTGACAGGGAGTCTAAATATATAAAAATTAATTTGAGGAAATGAAGGAGTCAAAAGTTATGGAGACTTAAAGTTACAAAATAAGTCATTACTAAAGATAAACATACTTTTAAAGATTAGAAAGCATCCTCTTTCAAGGATAATTCATATTTTTATAACAATTAATGACATTTTGACTTTTCAGTAATTTCTCTTGAAATAATATAATGTAAATAAAATAATATTAAATTTTGGCAAAACTGTTGCAACTGCCTTTTTTAAATATTGATTTCATGATATATTAGATCATTATTATAAAAAAATGATTAAGCGGGTGCACTCACTCACTTTTTTATATAGATTTTTTCATCCAAATTTTTCAAACATTTTTTTATACAAACCCTGTACTAACAATTACAATAACAACAAAAAAAGAATTAGCAATAGCTACCGCCGTTCTGAAGTAATACGCTTACATACACTCGGCAATTGATTTTTCTTGATATAGAAGACTAGCGCCTCACCCTCGCTACGCTTCGGGTTCGTCCCTCGACAAAAACAAACCTATCCTACTGAAACCGTACATTTACCCGGATAAAAAGTAACTTATGTTCTATTCCAAACTATAATCTACCTTTGTGCCAAATTTCATCTAGATCTGTTCCGCCGTTTTTGCGTAAAACATCCATCCATCCAACCTAACAAACTTTCACATTTATAATATTAGTATGGATATGACTTCTTTTTGTGGGTACTCCATTAAATGTAACATACGGTACCACGTAGCCACAGCAGTACCTACCGAAAGTACACCCGAGTGGCGCGTGAATATGTCACATGTCCCGAAACACCCCATCTCCCCCTCCCAGCGAGCAGGGATGCGACAACATTAAATTAAATAATGAATCAGTATAAAATGACTGTTTATTTAAAGTGAAGTTGGTATTGCATAGTTCAGTTCAGATGACTGAGTAAATTAACATTCGTGTACATTTTAACTTGACATAAAATAGCGAATAACGAATATAAATAAAACAACGACCGAACAACAACGTAGAACGTAATATTGTTAAATTCCTTATAGAATATTTTGTTTTCGCTTAGAGTAGACGAAAACCCCAAAATTAATAAGCTTCAAGCTCGACATTGTATGCATTCACCGTTCGTTGCTAAGGTAGGCATCTATAAAGGGGAAAGGCCAGGGTTTGTAATATTAATGGTATTGCCCAAGGTATGCTTGGATTTTACTCATTAGGGATATTATGCGGTTGTTTGCAAAATGATAAATGGGTAGGACGGCATTAGTTGAGCGACTTACCTACCGTACCACCGTGTTTTGTTAATGTTTTACTATAGCTTTATAAAGCTTAACAAGCGGTTCTGTGTTCGACAAGGGTCTATGCAATAATTAGAACATAAAAATTGCTAACAAGGAATTATATTATGTAAAACTGAATTATTATAGTTCCGTATTTACAAAATTCATGTTAAATTTTATAAAAATAGTTTTTGCCGCGGCTTCGCTCGCATGGTAGGCGGGATGGGGATAGAAGCACTATAATGCAATCTGTCCCATCTATTAATTATAAAAAGATTAAGTTACTTTTTTTATTATAATCGATATAATCAAAAAAATATCGAACCTTTTATAATAGGAAGTAGGAACATTTTTAGCTCTTGGACAAACGCTCTTATGATCAGATGAGCGAATTTCAAAGAAACGTTATGGGCTTTTTAAGAGATAAAACAAATTTTCATACTAATCTGAACTTTAAAACTAAGGTCTTAGTTATTAGTATCGTTGCTCATTCATTCTTACGCTTTAGTATGCTTTAATATTTAAGTCTTAATCTATGAGATTACCAAAGATGAAAAATCTTTCCAATGATAAACAGCTGTTGGGTCTTACAGTGGTAAGAAATTCTGAAAAGTTTTATTATCTCGGCAATATAGCTTGAAATCACTCATTGAAGTTTTATCTGTTTGTTTATCTTAATTTAAATTACTTCTTAAGCTTATACCTACAAAATATTAAACTAATGGTGATTCAGAACTTAACGTTGCTTATACTTTTACTATAAATAAATGTTATTACCAAAAAAGTGCACACTCGTGCCTTCTTACAATTTAACTGGAGGGTAAAACTTTATTTTTTTATGCATATGATAACGTACAACGCAACGCAAAAACAATACGCCATATATGTGATTTTTTTTGTGGCGATAGTTAGAGGGCTAGAGAGAGAGTGGCATAAACTACGAGTATATTTTATTGCGGGAAATTATGTCACTCTCACGAGAAAACATGTTATGATACAAGCCAAAAAAACATTTATAATCATATTTACTTGAAACTTAGTATTAATGCAATTCAATACAATTTAATAAATACATGTTTTAGCATTTTTTGAAATTCATTCCATAAGGGGGTAAAATAGTAGATGAAAGTTTGCATGAAACCTGAGTTTTTTTTTTTGTAGTTTTAGCGTGAACAAAGTCACGGGTTCTGCTAATAGTATAAATGTAAATTAAATTAAAATTGCATTAATTGAATGAGGGCATAGAAGTTGATTGCTGAACTACGCGACGCGAACTTTTTAGGTAGTTTATAAATATGCCAAGCGGTAAAATAAATACCATAAATATGGTACATAGCGAGTCACGTATAGCTTTTTAAGCTTAACATTAATTGACTAATGGATTGTAATGGAGCGCAAAAGCCTCGCCGCATCAAATAACCAGGTAAACCGCTTCTATAAAAACCATTTAATAGAGTTTAAAATGTAAATGGAACAGAATTAAGGGCACATAACAATATTATTTACTTTAAAGTTAGGTATAGTACTATTTTAAAGCAAAAAATTACATAAGAGATAAAGATATAACGAGTAAAAGCAGCAACTAAGAAAATTTGTAAGTATAATGTGAGTATAATCACATAACTCCGTTGAAGACATCGAAGTTTTTTTCGTTACCCTCAAACATAATGGTATCCTTTGACAGAATGTCTTTACAGCATATTCTTATTTTTTTATCCTTAATTTGCTGTATTAAATATTTTTTAATATTAAGTTTTTTGTTTTGGTTTAATGTAATCTTTAAATATATTTTTCACGATTCGATGATCGATCGAAACGATGATTAATACAAAACATGCCGTGTACCGTTGTTCCTAATTCATTGTTTTATCTGAAAGAAAATTTCCTTTGCCTGTGTCGTCATATAAAAATTAAAATATAACATTATTGAAGCGAAAACTTCTATAGGCAGTTTGGATGGGGAGTAAATTCATGTAATCGACACGGTCACGTGACGTGTTAACGCCAACACAGAGTGCCGATAGATGTCAAAACCAGATAAATGTAAACAATTTTAATTTACAAATTTTAATTTAAGTTTTCAAACAGTTAATTAGAATATAAAAAAATAACAACTGCTTGTTTATAGTTATAAGTTCTCACTTCTGTCTGTTGTTTTTATTAATAATTGCCTATATAACCATATTCAGTACCTGTATTCAGTACTTTATATACTGAAGCACTGATAAAGTTCATTTTTATTCCCGTTATTAATTAGTAAGTTGCGTCGTTACGTCTATACAATAGTTTTGACATGCAACTCAAAACATGTCAACATTAAAGTATAATTGATGTATCTTGCCGATACAATGATTTCGGTTAATGAAAGTTACTAATGAATCGTACATTTTCATAAATATTGGAACAAAACTAAAAATTATGTTAAAAAGCACCACAAAAGGAAAATCTTGGGGATTATTTAGAAGTACTGGCATCTGCTTGGCATTAGGTTGCGAATGGCTGGCATTATCCATAAAATTACAACAGATACTTGAAACACGAAAACGTTGATTAATAATAATAATCTGAACTTTCTAACAAGCCAAACACAAATTTCTAATTAGAAAAAGGTCCTATTTTGCAAAATCACGATTTTCTAAATATCCGCTGCCGCTTATACTAACAAAAATAATCTCAAGATAAAAAGTGTTTCTTATCCTGTAGTTAACGTAAGAGACCTTCTTAGTGAGCCGAATAATAAATAACAATCATATTTCTTTATTTAATAGTTAGCAGCAAAGTTTTTTTAAGTTTATCTAAAACTTTAGTTTTAAGATTTTCATCTCTGAGCGCGGATTATGTAAAATCGAGAAGATGCAAATAAAATGGATTGTATTATTGTGAAAGTTACTTTTTAGCAGCTTAAAGTGTAACTAAAACTTAGTTTCATTTCAATCATTTGTATACTTCCAAAGGCATGATCTGAGTGTTTTTATCCATTATCATTTAATTCACTCTTGTGAACTTAACGGAAACATACGCGTCTATAAAATTAAAATTAATTAACAGACAGTTTGTGATCTTTAATAATGTACTCATTAATCATCAAGAAAAATATTGAATTTTCCAATTTTCTTGGCAAATTTTCCATTTTTCCTATAAAAATCTTTTCGAACTATTGCGAATATTTGAAAAAATTTGCCAAGTTAGTCCAGCATTTCTCTGTGATGATGATGCGCTGTTAAATAAACAGCGCCTACTTTATTTTTATTTACATAGATTAAAGATCCTGGCCAGTATAAGTTAAGATAAAAGTATAAACAGATTAACTTTGTTCACAGACGTATCCTGACGAACGGTCTTTACGAAGAGAGCGTCCTACCCCAGGTCTATTCACCTCCATCAAATTACCAGAAGCCGAGCCCCCAAACGGGGTGGCGCCCCTGCTGGATTTCCCGCGGGGGCGCATGCGACCGGTTACTTTCCTAGGCGAGGGACCACATGGCACTGTAAGTATCCACCTTTATAAAAAAAATGCATGTGTGTACATATGTACGCACATAAGAAGTTATACTTCTTTGGCGTATCAAAACAAAATTAGCTAAAGATTTCATGCTGTATGTCACAACTCTCTGTTTGTAGAAGAAAACATATCGCTTTCAGCTAATTTCATCATGTCGTTTTTCGGTTATCGGGGTGCGCGTGCATCGTAAAAATGTTACTCACATATATTTTTTCCAAACGTTCCAAAAGAAGTATAGCATCAAAAAATAACTTCATTTTTTTAACTCAGTTTAACTTTCAATATGGTTTGTTTTAAAGTATTTTAGTTAATTTAAATTAAAAAAACCTCTGCTTGAAACAAAACAATAAAGTTATTAATATAAATAATATATTTAGAGGAATGAAATTGTTCTCATATTGAAAATACTAAGCGACGGCCTACGAATAAATAAGTTATTTATTCGCAGACGACGGCAATCTTTATGTTATTTAAAGAATTTAGCTACAACTTGATTCGACTTGTATTATAATTACACTAACGTAAATCAATAAAACTTAAGCCAACAAAAAGTGCACAAATAAATTTAAATAATGCATGTACTCGTAATTAACACTTATATTACAATTATGTTATGCAAAAATATTTAATGTTAATTTATATTAAAAAACGTGTGTGTTTACTTATGTACGCACGTAAGAAGTTATATTTCTTTGGCGTAACAGAATAAAAATAGCTAAAGTCTTCATCCCCTATATCACAACTCTCTTTTTGTAAAAGAATGCAGCCAGCTAACTTCATCATGTCGCTTTTGGGCTGTCGGTGTGCGCGTGCATCGTAAAAATTTTACTCTCATATTTTTTTTCAAACGTGCCTGCGTGATTTTTGAAATTATACTACCTCTAGGTTTATTTTAGGCTCTTGCATTGTGAATGTTAAAGTTAATATGAGATTAGCTCCATGCAGTCTCAGATGCTTTTGCATAATTACACTGATTACACAGTGAAGCAAATAACAAGTCATCGTGCCAAGTTTCGGAATGAAAGAAGTTTAACCTATAAAAATTGTAGAAGTATTCATATGTGAAAACCTGATTTATTCTATTTATATAGTACATTAAACATGAAAAATACGATTTAAAAATATAAAAACCTGATTCAATACTGTACTATAATAAAGTGTGAAAGTGATTTTTTTATTTGTCCTTCTCTTCTGCTGCAAAGGAGCGATTGATCGATATGATTTTTTTCCATAGAGGCAGTTTATTTAGCGGCGAAAGGCATATAGTAAATATTTTATAGTACAAGATTTGGTTGGGAGGGATATCTGTATGTTTAAAATTAAAATATTGTCTTTGATTCTACAGTTATAATTTTTATTACTTTTTATCTATACAAATAATAAAATTGTAACTAAGCCGAATCTGTACATAAAATACTTTTTGTAAAATCTTATTGAAATAGACATTATTATCCATACAGAGGCCAAATCTATAGTTTTTCAGGAGGGATTTTGATGAAATTTGGTATGGTGATAGCTGATTATCCGGGTCAACATATAGGATACTTTCTATCGCGGGAAAATATCTAATTTCTGAGAACCAATACAAAAACTGTAATTTAAGAGTATACTAATATGTAAAACCTAAGAATCTGGTTTTTTAACATCTGGACGCGGGCGGAGCCGCGGGCAATGCTAATTTTACTATCAAATTTTATTTGATATAGAGTATACCGTTTTCGAGAAAACCAAGAAAAAACATGAAATTCGAAGCAAATCTAATTAGACTTTTATACCTACTTCTAATTGTCATATCGACTTCCTTAAAGAGGTATGTTCACCGATTTATCGGCGATGACTTGATTTATTTTGCTACTTGAAACTGTTGAAGTAGGTCCCGAGGTGGTCCTGTAAAATTTTTTTCGACACAAAGCTTACAGTTTTCGAGAAAATCGGAAAAAAAACCAAAAAATTATAGTATGTTAACAAATCTAATTAGTCTTGTTTACCTACTTCTAATTGACATATCGACTTGAAACTATGCAAATTTTGTATTTCTGATGATCATACAGTTATTTGGCATCATCCATTAGTTATCTGATGGTGTAGCCAGAAATCTGATAGTGGAATTCTTCAACGGCTACTAGTAAATACTTAGTTTGAGCTTATTCGACAAGCTCAATACGTTGGACTTAGATTTTAAAGCCTGACTTTTAGTGTTACTAATGAAAGTGAGTTAAAATAAATAAAAACTTTTTAAAGAAAAATAAAAACCGAATTCCAGAAACTAAAAAGAAAAAAATAACTGAACGGAGGATTTTATTTACTATAAATAACTAATCAGACATTTTCGACGTCGGTGCCAGCCGATGCAAAGCAAATTACATCACAAATTGATGTATAGTATTTCAATCATAAAATTAAAGTTCATATCTTGTCATAACTACGTATTAGATATTCATTGCTTAAAGCATTGTTGGCTGGCACAGCCTTCGAAAATATCTAATATTTAGGTAAATTAAATCCCCCGTTCAGTTATTTTTTACTTTTTATTGCCTGGAAATCGGTTTTTATTTTTCTCTAAAAAGTTTTTATATAATGATACACTACGGACTTAAAAAATATATAATTATGGAGGATCATTTAATAAAAATCTTGTGGAAGTATATGGGTGAACAAATATTTGAAAAATATACGTACCTAAAAAAGCCTTTTAATTTTAAAATACATATTTTATGTAAAGAATCATTTTTAATTTTATTAAATTTACTTACTTCTTTTAATAAATAGTGACTCGTCCTGTAGTTTTTGTGTTAAAATGCTCACAAGCAACAAGTACTGGTAGTTTACTTTTACTTTAAAATGCTTAATATGGTTTATTTTCTTTTAAGTACCTATAGTATTCTTCAGCACAAATAATCAACTGCAATTTTCCGAATGAAAAGAATTCAATGCACTTGTTTAATAATAAAGTAAATTATGTTATTAAAAATAACTAAAAAAAGAAAGTGAGGTCTCTGTTGTGAGGTTTCGAGTGCTCTTCTTGGGCCTCATTAGCATTTTCTACGTTTAAGTTAGAGCTAGCGGAATCTGAATCTTTTAAATCGTTTTCAATTTTGTTCTCATCAGGTTGTTGAAGCTTTTTAATACTATTCACTTTAGATATCAAATAACTATTTGTATTTATTTCGTCAGCTGCCTCATTTATATTTTCTTTGAATTCATCTTCGTCAATGACTTTACCTAAGATAAATACATGATATTTTTTTTATCTTATTTTTATGATTTTGTTATCATTATGAAAAATAAATGAAATAGGAAAAATATGACAATCATTTATCTATAGCTTTTCTAAGAGAATAGTTTGATAATGTAATATATTTTTATATCGTAACGTCATAGAAATAATAATGACATTAAATTTGCTAATAATCCCTCCTCACCATCTTCTACCAGCTCGACAACATTTTCCATTGACAATTTTCCTTTTAACTTTTTGAGGAAATTTTCCATTTCCTTTATTTTATTTTATTTTTATTGAAGTGCCATTATGTACACCGATAATACTTTCTTAGATTTACGCGAATATTTGACATTTTAAATAAAACTATCTTTTCGGATTTTGTCGCGGATTTATTTGGATTTTTGTTTCCCGACGTTTCGAATGCTTTACAGCATCCATGGTCACGGGAGAGACTGAGGTGTTACATGTCTTGAATGTATAGTTGTTACAGACAGCCTACCCACTAACCTACTTTTTGTTAATTGTGGGTAGGCTGTCTGTAACAACTATACATTCAAGACATGTAACACCTCAGTCTCTCCCGTGACCATGGATGCTGTAAAGCATTCGAAACGTCGGGAAACAAAAATCCAAATAAATCCGCGACAAAATCCGAAAAGATAGTTTTATTTAAAATGTACACCGATAATTTAAAGTGTGCTTAAATGTCATTGCCTGTCAACTGCAGTTCGTTTTTATTTTATTTCTTTAATTGAAAAAGTTACTTTATAAGCGAAGATCTTTATATAAATAAAATCTAATGACATGACATATCTATGTTCTAATTAAACAAACAAGGTTAAAAGTACAGAAAACACGAACACGGTAATTTAGGCAGCTCTGTGGCAAGTGAATTCATTGTGTGTATCCTTTTATAATGGAAATATAACAATAACACGTGCTTTTGTTTTTATTCGCCCGTCGGCGATAGAAAGGGAAGTCGTTAGGCCGTCTATAAGAAAATAGGAAGCTGTTATAACGCCAGCTGAGCTAAACTGTCATACAAGATTTATTTAATAGTTCACTAACTACTATTATTTAAATATAACTATGTAGTATTCTAAAAGTTCATTAAATTATCCTTTTTTTTTAATTGTAATAAATTTTTAAGTTCCATTCAAACCTTGAGTAATTAGAAACTCGAAAAATCAACGACTAAGAGACTTTTCTAAATTGTATCTGAAAAATAGAGCACCTAATGCCGCAGTAGTTTTCTTTAGAAGCAACATAATAATTCTGTAAAGTACAAAAAATATTCTACAAGCCTTTATTTTTACATTTACGTGCGCTTGCTTTCTTAGATCCAAGGCAACATAGTAATTACGTATGATGGAGAAGATTTTTGACTAATGCAGCATTTCATTTCTAACCGAAAATACACTTGAAAGAAAAATAATACTTATTTTATAAAATCATATGTAAGTAAAGTAATATTATAGTCATATATAAATGAAAAATCGTTATCTTATAGCGGCCGTTCAACAACTTACATATTCTTGATAAAAGCCACAATTTTTTTTGTCTACTTAAAATTGGCGGACAATTAAAATTTTAATTTCGGAACGCAATTTGCCAAAGCATTAAACCACGAATAATTCATTATATGACCTCGGTTTGCTTGCATTGTTACAATATAATAATTAACACATTATTATTTTTGGTTATGAGTGTTTATTGATAATAATAATATTATTCATTTAATACCTCGCATCCAACTCACATCACGAACAACACATGATTGTAGCTGCCCGCGAAGACCACGGGTGGAATTGAATTGAGCAATCCCATTCTCATAAATATATTTGTGCTACAGACTTCTCTATGGCTTCAATATTATAAAATAGCTTTAGAAATTGTATGAAGAAAAAAACTATATACGATATATGGTTATATTTTGTAAGAAACGTTTACTAAATTACTGTACAGTAACGGTACAGTATATTTATGCTTATGCGATGATAAAAATGGAATTTATATGAGAATGTGTTTGCATCGTAAAAAAACAATCTCCTAATCAATTTCATTTTTGGTTACGCAGGTTATACAATCATAAGACAGTTCGACAAATTTCAATTACGACAAATTTCAATTATACAAACGATAGGTTGGGATTTAAAAAAATATTTTTAGCTCGGTAGGTTTAGGTTACTTCCTTTTTTTTCTTACACATAGAAACATCCAAAAATCAATTATTTTATTAGAATATAAAAAAGTGGCAGATTCATGAAAATAGTCGACCAACAAATATAACCAAACCAATAATCTATACATATAATAAAATTGTAACTAAGCCGAATCTGTACATTAAATATTTTTTTGCAAATCTTATTGAAATAGACATTATTATCGATACAGAAGCTGAATCTACAACTTTTAGAATTTTTGTCTGTCTGTCTGTTACCGCATCACGGAAAAACTTTGTAAACATTTGGTACTGCTGATTATCTTTGTCAAAATATAGGATACTTTTTACTGCGGGAAAATATCGCATTTCTGAGAAATCTATACTAAACGGTAAAACGTAAATAGGGACGAACCCGAGCGGAGCGAGGGTGAGTCGCTAGGTGCGTTTAATATAGATATAAATAATTAGTAGCCAGCGATAGCCATATATATTTTTTTCGTTAATTTTTCATTCTTTCTCTTTATGAACGAAATTCTTCCGTGAACCTTAAGCTTGTATGTTACAAAAAAAATTAGCCGAATTGGTTCAGCCATTCTTAAGTTATGCGCTTACCAACATTCCTTTTTCTTTATATAGATAGATATATTATACACCTACCATAAATTAATAGTTTGTGCCCTGATGAATGATGAGTTGGGTACATCTATCGCCCTTACTTATATTCTCGATTAATTAAGACCAATAATACAAATCACCCTCTGATATGAACAGGTAGTTTATCTCAGCAGTATTAATAATTCAGTAATGATTATAAGTAATACATATTATAATACTAATATTGTGTGCATGATTACTACAATTTGAACAACTGTTTTGTTTAATACTTTTTTACTTTTGTATATATTATTGTTCTTTAGTTCTATATTAAATTGATATATTAAATTGGTCAATTTATCATCTTTTCAGTAAATTGAGACTTTAGAGAAAGTTTTACCTATGAAAAACACTTTATACTGAATCGTAGTTAAAGCCCTAGTGCGATTCAACTCACTGCTGGACAGTTTTACTTTAGAGCTAACACAAGCTAGTCATGCCATGTTTTACGTATATTATTATGTTTACCCTTATTAAAGTATATGAGTATATATATCTTATGTACCTCTATTTCTAATTTTGGTTAGAGTATCTCCCAAAAAATTTGTTTTGTATAAAGTAGGTATATGCTAATTAACAGAGCGTCAAACAATATTATTCTAGTGTCACTAAACAATATTATTCTAGTGTCATTATTTAGCTTATATAGTCAGCTCACTGGTGTGACCTTGACTTTGGTTTAGGGTTGAGCGGGGTCGCTGGTATAGGGCACTGCACAGAATAACCGAAATTGCCGTTCTCGCTCTTTTCTATTCGGTGTAAATCACGACTTCACAGCGCCTTGATTTTATAATCCTATATATAAAATTTCCATGTCACAATGTTTGTTACCGTACTCCTCCGAAACGGCTTTACCGATTTTTACCAAATTTTATATGCGTATTCAGTAGGTCTGAGATTCGGCTACTATCTATTTTTCATACACCTAAGTGATAAGGATAAGGGTGGTCCTCGCAGAGCCCACCCCAGGGACGAATCCGAGCGGAGCGAGGGTGAGTCGCTAGTGTGTTTATATAATTTATTCCGACCCATCGATTTAAATAAAAATACGTGTCATTTGGACTACATTTATAGGAAAAATTAATCAGGAAGGGTATAAAAAATTATAAAAATTCAATATGTAGGCCTCATCTCGTGCTGTAGCCAGTCATAAATACAAATCACGGCTGTCACCGCAAAGAGGGGGTAATGGACTACGTCTACCCCAATATCCAGTGCTGAGCGATCAAGGCGGTTCTGAGAACGTCCCAATACTGCCAAGGCAAGCTTAGTAAACTACAGGGAGCGATGTTTGAGTCGGATTTTTGGGTGCGCTCTATCGATGAAGAGGGCCCCGAGCAATCTGGACTAAATTCGGCATATAAAAAAAGTATAAAATAATGCAACGATAAACCATCAAAAGTCCAAATGCTCAAATTTACATACTTGTGGAACTACTATTTGGGCTATATACGACTTCCACAAATGGAAAGAAATTCGGGACTTATACCTCCTATACATCCAACCAAGGTAAAGGTAATTTTACAAAGGATTTCCAACAAGAAAGCTATAGGACCTGATGGTATCCCAGCGGAAGCTTGGAAATATTAAACGGGAAAGAGGAATTGTACTTCTTACTAATTTCTTTAACTTTGTGATGTTCTCTTCTAAAATGCCAGAGGCATGGAGATTGAGCTACGTAGTTCCAATTTATAAGGAAAAAGGTAGCAAGTACGAGTGTAACAGTTACTGCGGAATCAAGATTTTAAGCTATGAAGCTGTACGAGAGAGTGAGTGATAATCGGCTAAGACCTGAGTGTTCCTTATCAACAAACTACTATGGTTTCGTACCTGGCTTATTGACCAACGATCCGATATTCGTTCTTAATACAATTGCTGGGGAATATCACGCAAAAACTGACCAGTATATATTGCATTCCTAGACATGGAAAAGGCATTTGATTGGGTTCCGATGGACACGATCAGGTGGAGGCTGCGTAAGAGAAACGTCCCCGAATATTATATTAACATCATTGCCGCCATGTATAGGGATGCGAGATCGATGGTACGGATAGTGATGGGTGAGGCAAAACCTATAGCGGTTACAGAAGGTGCATCGAGGCTTAGTGCTAAGAATCTTCCTGTTTTGTTTGGTTCTGGACTCGCTCACTGAGACTGCGCGAAATTCGGTAGCGTGGTCCTTCATTTATGTAGATGACGTGGCCATATGACTGAGACAAGAGTCGAGTTTTTGTCAAGGAACATCAGTTACAGACAGGGGACCTAATGTTGAGTGTTGCAAAACCCAGTTTCTATGCTTTAATCAACCAGATTCAAATGACAGTAGCCCCATACCAATCAACGATTATCGAGTAAGCGTGTGTGATCAGTATAAGTATCTGAGTAGTACGATGCACAATTCTGGAAACCTAGAATGCAATGTACAACATTGATATTTTGAAATTGGGCTTATTTCTTTTGATTTGACAAGCCCAATATGTTAGAATTGTATTTTACAGCAAGAATCTATACTAAAAACTTTTAAATAAAAAATAAAAACTGACTTTAAAAAAAAAGCACTAAAAAGTGAAAAATAAGTGATTGGTAGTTTTCATTTACTAGAGATACCTAATCAAATATTTTCGTAGTCGGTGCTAGCCGATACACAAAGCACATAAATCGACTATGAAGTTTATGTACGATTTTTGCCTCTTCGGCTTGTGGAAATCGGCATATTATTGATTTGCACGCTTTTCAGGATGTAATGAGCCCACCATACCTTAATCTGACGGTGTCAAGTATTTCTTTCTACCTTACCAAATATTTTTTTAAATATTTTGATCGGCTGCCCTAGACGCACGCCCTTATATAGAAGACTTATATTATGGTGGAGGTACTCAACAGAGTGCAAGGTATCCCCCTCTTATTTTAATCTGCCGCGCTTGAGTAACTCCAAAAACTACTAAGTCGGTTATTATTTTTTTTTTACTTGTCAGTAGTAATCAAATCAACAGTACCAAGTTCACCTTTATAAAGTGTTGGCCAACTATATGGAAACAAACACATTATTTGATACATCTATACTTACGAATTACGAATATGTACTTGTTACACCTCTCAACTCCGACACCGTAGTAGTGTTCCTCTTTGCAAATGCATAAATACCAATTAGGATTATGAACTAAGCCTCTTAAATCCTAATACGAAAAGGGGAAACACCAACGAGTTTAAGTATATTTTAAATACATGTAAGTGAAATACTTATTAGGTTTGTCAACAGATATACTCGTATTTTAAGTTCGAATTTTATTCAAAGATAATTTTATTTGTTTTAAGTTTACGCTTCACAGGAAAAGAGTAATTTAACCGTTAGGTTAAACTTAGCTAAGTTGTTAAACTTAGCCCGCACAAAGAATACACCGTACGAGAATTCAAACTTTGATATAATTATCTATCATGTTACCGTGTAATTTTTATGAGATAAATTATTTTTACCCACGACGGAACGGAGACGGTATATGCGTTTGGGGTGAGAGGATGTTTGTTTGCTTGTGCCAAACACATGTTGCCATTTTTCTTCAAAACTACTAGTCCGATTTTGATGTAGTTTTCAGTTATGACTTCGGGTTTGATTGGTGCATGTTCTAATATAGGTGTTACCGTGGGCGCGTGTACCAGGGGGCGCTGCATCAAACATTGTTTGTGCAAATCAATGTTGCCATTTTTCCCCAAAACTACTATTCTGATTTTGATGTAGTTTTCAGTTATGGGTTCGGGTTTGATTGGTGCATGTTCTTAGATAAGTGTTACGGTGATAACTCACCAGGGGGCGCTGCAGTAAACATTTGTTTATGTAAAACCAAAACTACTAGCCCGATTTTGATGTGGTTTTTAGTAATGGGCTTGTAGTTGATTATTGAGGGTTCTTAAATAGGTGTTACGATAGTAGCTCACTAGGGGAAGCGCCATTAATATATTTTATTTTATAGTAGCTACTACATAATAAGGAAACTCGATAGAACTCGATAGGTAAGTACTTCTGTAGGAAGTAGTGATGTAGAAACTAAAAATTCTTTAAAAAAAATTTAAAACATACGTCGTACGCGATTTAAGCGCAAAAATGTATGTGAAGTAAAAGACAAAGGCAACGTACATACATAATATCTATGCTTTCTAAAAAGTTTAAAATAAAAAGCAAAATTAAATATTTGAAAAAACCCACGACGGTTAAAATGTAATTAAAAAGGATGAAATAATTTAAAAACTCTCGACTTAAAAAATAAATGTAACGCGAGATAAACTCAAGCATATCCGTCGGGGGCTGCCATCACTATTTTAAATTTCATCGTAAATAAAAATAAGTATCATCATCAAATTCTAAAGGTCCCCATTGTAGGGGCACGGCCTACCCATTAAGGGTGTAAGTATAGCGCTAAAAAATCTCAAATTATTCACGTTACTATAAAACTGCAAAACTAGTTCATAATGGCAGCCCCCAATGGATATCCTTGCGTTTATCTCGCGTTACATTTAATTTTTAAGTCGAGGGTTTTTAAATTATTTCATTCTTTTTCAATTACTTTTTAACCGTTGTGGGTTTTTTCAAAATTTTTATTTTTGCTTTTCATGCTAAAAATCCGAAATTTGTAATATTGTACAGTTTAAGAGCCACCTAAATTTTTTGCTGTCTTTTTTCCTTTGACTTCTATAGTAAAGATTTTTCTTTTTATATTAATATTTATCATTTGCTGAAGTTGCTCCGCTATCGTTATTTAACTCGTAATTTTAAAATTGCACTTTACTCATTTTTTAAAATGTAGAGCACTATTAGCTCTCTACTAGCCTAATTGGGGCAAAACACTCCGGATAAACATGTAGAATTGCAAGAGCATCTTTTGATATCAGAACCTACACTGACTACACTCGAGAGTCGACGTTCTCACATGCTTAGACGTTCTTTCTACAGTAACGTTCTTGGGACCTCATCTTAGCCGGACAGCGTGGACGATGATTATATGATACATATTATGGTAGTTACCTCTGCCTTTGTTTAACTGTCTCGTTGGTCTAATGTACTGCTAAAGATAGTAAGAGTTCGTTTCCCTTCCCTTCTTGTAGTAACTGGGTTTTTCTGCCACGAAATATTAAGTAGCAGACCGGAGTTCGGAAGTTAGCGATGTGTGCGCTTCCGTGCCTCAGAGAGCACGTTAAGCTGTCGGTCCAGCGCCTTATCTCACACCAGTCGTGTCGAGTTATTGTCCTACCGGAATATGAAAGTTATTAAAGGAATAGAGAGTGCTTATGACATATATGTCTGTAATACATATATTCCGCACACTTCAATAAACAGCGTAAACAGAATCTATTAAGAGGACATTATTTTTCATTATATACACTGAAGGATTATTAAGATTACCTACGCATTGACATGAATTAGATGAGAAATGTTCACCAATGTACTTAAATTAGATATTAAACTTCTTTATCTTATAATTAAAAACAATATTTGTATTTTTTGTTTTTATGTGCAATAAAGAATTTATATATCTCGGCCACTGTCACATATCCAGACAACGGTAATCGTGCAAGTAGCGGAAACTTTGTGGCTTATTCAACAGTGATTGCACATTTTATCAATATATTCCTCGCTTTAACGTCTGATAAACTAATCTTACAATGTTTTAATTACTGTTATAACAATTTTAAATTTTACATATTTACTACACGTGAAAAATTTTAACGTAGTACATAATAAATATATAATATCAAATACTTTTAAGAGAAAGAAAAAAAATCGGTTCATTGGTATACAAACGTAATATTATTAAATTAAAACATTTAGCATCAGCCATTGCAAGCTATAACAGTGAACTTGGGAGCTAGAAATTAATTAAACTCAGAAACGCTACTTCCAAGTTCTTACAAATTTCAAGCCACCACGTATTTATGTGTCCTATAGATATTAGCCATCCTCTATGATGGCCGGGTTTAAAACAATACTTGCCAAGTGGAATTCCATCCAAACTTTACTAAACTAAATTAAATTTTACTAGATTAAATTCCGGAGAGGTAATAATTGCGAAGGCGAGTTAGTTTACGCCCATGGCTTGTCGCGAGGGGAAGTTTGCACATCGCCCTCGCGACGGAGGAGGGTACAAAGAGCACGGGGCTACAAAAATACTCATAAAAATTGATTACTGGCCGTAGCAAGAAAATGCAATCTGCTCACACTCACCGGACGCCCGCCGGCCGCCCAGCCCCCGCTTAATAGCTACGGTCGCTTATTTTATACTTTTATCAGAATATAATTTACGATTTGTTTAATATTTGCTCAGTACAATTACAAAATTAATTAAAGAAGGCTATTTTTATTGCACACACTCACTCGAATTCAGTTTGGTCGTGTAAAAATCGAATGAATTGATGAATCGAATGAGTCGAATTATTGACAAAACAAATGTACACTTAATTATTACTGTAAAAGTCAAGTCAGCGAGGAATTTTAAAATTGTGAAACTTTTAAACTAATAATGTACGCCGATTCAATAAAAATATATTTCTTTACTTAATCTATACATATAATAAAATCGTAAGTCGAATCTGTACATTAAATATTTTTTGGAAAATCTTATTGAAACAAACATTATTATCGATACAGAGGCCGAATCTATAGTTTTTAGAATTTTTGTCAGTCTGTCTGTCTGTCTGTTACCGTATAACAGAAAAACCACTAGAAGGATTTTGATGAAATTTGGTATGGTAATAGCTGGTTATCCGGGTCAACATATAGAATACTTTTTACCGCGGGAAAATGTCTCATTTCTGAGAAAAAATACAAAAACTGCAATGTAAGAGTATACCAATATTTAAAACCTAAGAATTTTGTTTTTGGTCATCTGAACGCGGGCGGAGCTGGGGGCAATGCTAGTCTAATATATGTATAAAATTCTCGTGCCACAGTGTTTGCAACAAAACTCCTCCGAAACGGCTTGACCGATTATTATTAAATTTTGTGTGTATATTTAGTAGGTCTGAGAATAGGACGTAAACTATATTTCATATCCCTAAGTGATAAGGATGATCAACCTTAAAATTTTTATATTTATTTTTTGGACATTTTCTTTTTATTTTTTTATGATTCGACATTAAAAAATCCATACAAACCTAAATATTCACTATGGATGAACCCGAGCTGAGCGAAGATGAGCGCTAGTAATAATACAAAAATTTGTAAAATGTACGTGTAATATAATATGTTTAATATTATAAAGAGGTAAAGTTTGTGAGCTTGTGATGTTGTGGGGGGTAATCTCTGAATCTACTGAACCGATTTAGATAAAATTTGGTAAGAAGATGGTTTCAGACCCTGGGAAGGACTAGGACTTTTTGTCCCGGAAATCATCCCTTAAGGGAGTGAAAACGGGGATGAAAGTTTGTATCGTGAAGCAAGCAAGGGATGAACCCGAGTGAAGCGAAGAATAGTCGCTAGTATAATAATATGTAAAAGTAAAGTAATGATTCAGTTAATTTTAAAAAAATAGCTTCCAGAGGTTCTTTTTCAAATTATTACACTATTAGATTTTTTTTAAACTAGTTTCATATTCAAATGTAAATGTGCATTCAAATTTAACCATGCACGAAAATCATTTTGCCATAGGTATACTTTTGCGTATGTGAACCGCATCACATGTCATTTTAACGAATTAGTCCAATAACAATAATTAGCCTTAACATTTAGTAATTATTTACCAATAATCAGATGTACGAACTATAAATATTACAATTTGTGAAACACAATATGTACCTAGAAAAGTAAAAATAACATTTTCTAACTTATTTTCCTCTCTGATAATATTCGGCATTTTCCTGCATATGCAGATGCTCTCCGTAACCAAACCAAATGTGTTACCGGAAGTTAACGTGAGAATTACTTGTCTTTAGTTGTCTTTTTTTGCATTGAGATACTACACCTAAATTACCAAAACTTTGATTCATTATTATTTACATTTTCTTGTTTAAGATATATATGTTAATCACATTGCGTTAACTGAGAAGAATATTTATTTATTACAGTTAAAAACTAATATTGTTTTTCACCTTTTACTTTAACTTTATCTTTTAACTAAAAAATATAATAAAAAATAAAAAGGTTAACTTTTTCATCTGAGTCAAAGTGTTCCGCCCAGGTAGATATTACAAGTCAGCACTCACCCTGAAGTTTTAAGCAAACCTTTAAAACAGTCATCGAATCACACGCAAACCCTCTTAACGCCACCCGATGTGAGTGGAATCATAACTACCCTATCCTTTTATCTTGGCCGCACCCTATCCCCATGTATTAAGTTACTCAGGGATATAAAAATACTGGCTAGAGAAGACCTTTTTAGCATTGAAATATATTTTGAAGTCCTTAATTTGCATGAGAATCCAACATTAATTTCATAAACTTTTAATATATTTTATGATAGTGCGAGTCCGCGCCCAACCCTATCGAAAGCTATGCACCTTAATTTAAAGCGAGCTTTTTCTCAAGATTTGCAAATCCGTTAGACGCAAAGCCATTTTCCACGCTCGGTAAACTTAGAAACTGGGCCAAAGTAGGCTTTTGTGAAATGTACAGGAAATTCTCTACCTCCCCTCACTATTTACGTGCTTAAGAACTATTTCCTTGAGAACTTCCCTTCGTGCCACGGAATAAAAATGTAAATTTTAAATCTTTTCATTTTAATTTTAGACGGTTGATTTAAGCGATAACTTAAGATGAAACATTATGAGATTTAAAAGACTTTCTTAACTAAGTGTAACATTAATTTCAATAGCAGATTTAAAGTGTTGATGAATTCAGAAAAAACAACTAGGTACGTCAATTTACTCTTTACAAATCTAAATGTAAAGAATATCTAAACTTGAAATTTTCTTTATGAATACATGATTTTAGAGAATAATAACATTTTTATTTTTTATTTACTACATTAATAATGACACTTATAAATAAATAAAAATATTCACAAAGTTATAATAATATCCATAGACTGATATCGTATCTTGTAAATGGAATATTTAAATCTACTATGTAGTTTTATTAAATGTCATATTATTAAAAGAACCAAATTTTATGTAACAAATATATGAACACCTAACTTATTAACTAATATTCATTTCTTCATAAATAAGTTACTTTCAGACTTAAAATATGTAAAATAATGCCTAGAGTGAATAAGCCCGCAACTCCTCGTGTAAAGTTAATTATAATCATGACATGTTGTGTTTAAATATACTCGTAGAACATTTAAATATAATTTTACTTATAAGTTATAACCAAAGAATAACATAAATAACCATGTTTAAACAGCTCCAGATCTGCGAGACGGATGGCATCGAAGAACTGAGCGACGAGGAATCCCCCAATGGCGATCGCCGCCGTCTTGTTGTCGTCAAGACTTTATGGCGCGGCTGCCATAGCGATATCAAGTACGGGACAAAACTATAATTAAAATAATTATTATACATCAATCATTTAATCCGACGAGTAGATACTCGTTCAAGTGCCTCTCTAACAGCCTGATAGCATATATATAAATATTCGACGGCTTATGTGTTCGACGTTCAACAGTCAATAGCCAAATCTTAGATTACTATTATCTATGAGTATGTATTAAATTTCATCCAAATCAGAGTAGTGAGCATAACATCTTTCGTATTTATAATTAGTATTACTCCGATTAGGATAAAATTAACTACTTTATTACTGTTGCAGAGCGGCGTTTGCCCGCGAAGCTACATGGGGAGCTGGGCTGAAGCATCCACAACTCGCACGAGTGCTTGGATTGAGCCTATTAGAACCCCCTTGCGCGGCACTCGACCGCGGAGATGCTGTTCCTCTCCCGACGATTCTGAAGACGGAGGGCAGATTGAGGTAAGTCCTTACAATTTTATTTATTACAAAGTCATTGAATAATAACTAAGTACTAGTAACGGCAATTTAATAATAATAATAATCATAGGTAAATAGTAATTGAATAGCTTTAAACTTTGCTCCCTTGTTCTAGTTATTCGAGTTTGATTCACATCGGCTGCCAAATAGCGAACGGCATGAAGTATCTGGAATCGTTCGAGTTAGTACATCGGGATCTCGCGGCCCGGTAATGAATTATATATTTATATCATTTAATATGTTAAATTAATTTATTAAAAGTAAAATTTCTTAGAAACTAATTTTAATGTACTTCATTTTTAGAAACGTAACAGTCAGCGAAGATCTCCACATTAAGGTAGCCGACTATGCAATGTTCTGTGAGGAATTCATCAGTGACTACCACATAATGGCTGACGGTTCTCGTATACCGTTGCGTTGGATGGCCTGGGAAAGTTTGCTAATGGTAATAATACTTTTTTAGATTTTCGCGAATATTTGACATTTTCAATAAAACTATCTCTTCGGATTTTTTCGCGGATGTATTTTGATTTTTGGTTATCTATTAACAAATATTGTAAGCTACTTTGATGCTATTTTTCTGTTTTTTGAATTCCTTTTGTTATTTTATGGGTAGGCTGTCTTTAACAACTATACAATGCCTTTGAGACATCTAAAACCTTAATTTCTCCCGTGACCATGATTGCTGTAAAGCATTTGAAACGTCGGGAACCAAGAATCAAAATAAATCCGCGAAAAAATCCGAAAAGATAGTTTTATTGAAAATGGTAATAAATTCACTTACAATTAACGAAAAAGATATAAATAAAAAATGTTACTTATAATTATTTTCCTTTCTAGGGCGTGTATTCTCCTGCTAGCGACGTTTGGTCGTTCGGTGTAACGGTCTGGGAAGTGCTCACTTATTGTGTGGCTAAACCATTTGAAGAAATGAGCGATGATCAGGTATTTTTATATTAATATAAACAAATTATAAAATTTATTAATTACATTTGTATATCATTATTTAAATAAATTTATATAAAATTTTCAAATATATCATTATCAGTTAAATAAATTTCTTTCCAGAATTAATTTAATAAATAATTTAGTCGAATTAATTAGAGCAGGTTTTCCTCAACTAATCTACAATATCGATTAAAATTATTCCAGAATCCATTTACACGGCAGTTTATTTAAATTTCCTTTGGATCTTAAGATGTGGCTTAAATTTTGCACGTGTTATAGGTAGTCGCTAATGCGAGCGAATGGCGTCGCGGTGGCCGTGGCGCCTGCGTTCCCGCCGCGCCTCCTCCGCGCTGTCGACGGGAACTTTACGACCTAATGCATGAATGCTGGCGTCGAGAACCCATGCAGCGACCACGCTTTCATGACCTTCATAGATTCCTCGAACGCATGACTCACGGCTATAAGCCGCCCCAACATTAAACACGGAACATACTTATAAGTCCACAGTACAAGTAGGTATAATGCTTGCACTCTGTGACGACTACTGCGACACATCTCACGGCTTTACATTCTTAAAAATATAACACTCGGTTATGAAAAAACGAACAAAGTTTCGTACGAGCTTTTAACGTTTCTAACCATAAGACATTAGATTTAGAATTTTAATACATAGGTCACTTGAAAGCTTCTCAGCCCGAGGTTCGACGGATCCTGGAAAATAACAGACTGCGTAGATAATGTGATAGGGAATTCGGGCAGTATTGATACAGTATTAATAAGGCACCTTTAATCTTAGATTTAAAAAGCATATATCTGGCGAAATGCCGCTTCTCTATGTTCTGTTTACTTGCTGAACTGCGTTTTTATTTTCTAGTCATAATCACACATCTTCTTATATAAAGCGGTGTGAGCAAGTGAACAGAATGCTGACCCCCTCCCTTTGGAATGCATCTCTATTTTAACGATCTCATAAAATATCGATACAGCCTGTATTTTTAGCGGCTTATCGATATTTGTAAGCATGTCGTGGATCTCAGAAAGGTTGTTCAAATTAGATAGTATCGAACATATAATATATACAGTTCGCATATTTAGTAGATAGATGAACTTTAATTAAGTGATGAGATTGATGCTAGGGAGACCACTTCATGTGTTGGTATCGATGCGACTGACAACATTTTGCTGAAGTACTGAAAGTGCAAAGTAGTCATTTTGTTAGGGGCATCGAAATCGCGTCTTTTATCACGCTATCCCCAGCGCCCTTCGCCTAGCGCTCCCACGATCTTCCACTACCACCGCCATTATGGCAATCCTTTCACTAGGAACACTACTGTAATGCACGATAAAATATTCACCTTTAATTAAGCCTCCGATATGTGGGTGGTTTTTCTTTACCGTTCATTCCATTAGTGTACTACCTAGTCGGTGCATCGGTCGTGTATAGAATGTATGTATGTCAATTTTGTTGGAAATCGACATTCTTGCACACAAGCATAGATTCAATATGTGACCGGTTCACACTCTATAGTATCTATATCCAAATCTAACTCCTATTTTTTTATCCTGTTTTAAAATGTTAAGGTTGTATACTTCGAGAGGCTAAAGATTCCTCTAGGGCGATATATGCCCCCTGTGCTTCTTGTTTTCTTCGACCAGAGATAGCTTGCAATTACACAATATTTGTAATTATTAATAGGCTACTAACATTGCCTACATATAATTATGGATAATATGTAATTAATCCAAAATAAAACATTGTCAGAACTCATTCAATCTCATTATGGTCTTGTAATACATGTGTCATAGATTTAAGGATGGATAAATGTTGTCAGTAATAATAGTCAGTGTTTCCCCTAACCTTTAACCCCGATTCAGCGAAAACCGACACCGATTGCATATTAGGCACAAGGTTATTATGTCATAGCAGTCTAATTAACCTACTTTTAAAAGATCAACATGATCTTGTATCATGTACATTAATATGTACGTATAATCGCGTGTTAGGAATGCATTTTAGAATAAATCTTGATCTTTTGAATCGGGGTGGCCACTAACTTAAAAGATATTATGTATAATTAATACTTACATGTGTATCCATTCGATGTTTCCTTCAGCTAGCGAATTGACTGGAGGTGTGTCTATAGACGAAATTATCATCTGGAGAAATCAGTGTAAATAGAGATTTATGTCAATTAAATATCTTTATCTCAACATTCTGCAACGACCAGCGTGGCTATCGGCATTTTCTGGTGAGTAACAAAGCTTATTTGTACACCGATTTTTTTTATCAATCCAAAATTTGCACACTTATGAGATTATATATTTTAGAAATCACTAAAATCCAACAATACTAAAGTAACAGTTTAACAACTTCTTGTAAGTATAAGTGCATCCGTGAATACTACTTTCGGTGATACGCGATAGCCATGCTGATTAACCTAAATATCATAAAGTCCAGAAACTGAACTCCATTACTCAGGATATACATTTATAATGCTTTTAGTGTAGATATTAGAGATATTTCAGTTTTTAAATACCTTTTTATTTCTATTATTATGACGAGATGGAAGGAGATACGTGCTATTCTCTTAGCAAGCAATAGCATTCAGTAGCTGTATTATACATTATGAATTTGGCTCGTAACAATTAATGCAGTAATATAAACCCTTCACATATTGCAATCTCTCGAGCTATCGATATAATTTATTTATTCATTGTTTTTCTCTATGTATGTTTTGTTCGCATTAAATATTTTACTTTTTTGGAATGGTTGCTCTTCTGTTTGATTGTTTCAGGCATTAGGCCTTAGAATGAATGGCAATGCTTGAGTAGGTAATGTTTGTTGAAGTTATGGCTGCTTAGAATGAATGATTTTAAAACTAAAACTTTAGTTCTTTTTAAATTTCAGTTTAAGTCCTTTTTTTTAATGCCTACTTCGAACTGCATCATATTTGGAATACTAGTTTGTTCTTTGGGAATAAGTATAAAAGGAATCGAGTGAGCCCAATAAAAAATGTCTTAAATTATTGAAAAATTATTTAACTTTAATAATACAAACAATCAAACAAAACAGAAAGTAGGAACCTTATCAAAATTTCTATTAAATTAATATCTGTTTATAATGTGCATAAAATTTGGTATATTTCAAATTATGTTCACTTTCGGCATTCCAAATTAACATGACATCCTAACTTAAATTCCATGTCACATTTTTAATTATAGATTTATTCACAAAATCAATGCAAAACTGTAGGCTAATAAAGTCACTTAACAATTTAAATAATTACTATAAAGATTTTACAAATCACAGTAAATGATGATCAAAGATTGCATTTTTACCGAAAAAGTTTTCAAAATTTACTTCTCTTTCGTTTACGTATGGCTGGCAGCAGGTATGTCCTGATGGCGACCTGTTTTAAATAATCATTGGCTTTGTACGAGTATGTGATGCGACGTTATGTTTACAGTAAGGAAACACATCGCATTTATATTAATTTAGATATCTGAGTTTTCCATGTTACCTGCAGAATTCCAAATATGCTGCACTTCCTTATATTATTATTATTTCATTATAATTATTTTTAAAATAAAATCACTGACTTACAAGAGTGTGGTCATTACATGAATAGCATTGTTTATAATATCGAAAGTTCCTGGATCGATACCCACCGAGAACAAATATTTGAAATGTCCATCTCTGACAAAGACTAAATAAGTACGACATTAACACCCGAAACTCATCACCAATTTTTTCGTATGATATAGTAAAAAAAGCAGAGATAGCTCTGTTCGCTGTGCAAGGAAAATGGCGTTAAGATAAATAAAATAAAAAAATAAAAGATAAAAAAAAGATAGTTTATTTCAATTACTCACGGAGGTTGCATAATGTGGAGGATATGCATATTGGAAATTTGTATATAAGGTTGCAGTTGAGAAGGAAACTCCTGCAATTCAAAATTTTATATTACTGTATTCTCTGTTGTGTCCACGTAGCGATTATTTAAAAAAAAAACAGCAATAATAGAGCATAAGGTATCAGGTTATTGACACAAATCTAAATAAAACTATTTTAGAAATGGCAACTTTACATTTTTATTAAGTATTCTGGGGTTTATTTTGTTCATTACATTTATTATCAATGTATGCCGCGCCTACACCAATAACAAAAAGGGGCGATACAAATATTACTCTTTTATTTCTTTAATTTCAGATTACTAAAACATTCAATTTTATAAAATAATACGTTAGAAACTTTCAAGCATTTGACATAATTAATTTTTGAAATTCAATATAATAATTTAGTAATGTAACATTGTCATTTCTATAGATACAAAGATAAAGTAAGCAATTTAGTCAAAGTCCCTGAAAATTAATAATACATTTTTCAATGAAACATGGCAGGTTATTAAACAATAAATCTAACAATCTCGAGTAATTCTGACAGAGACTGAGATAAAATGACACATTTTTCAAACCAATTTGATTATTTATTGGCAATGATAATAATTATCTTAGATATAGGCTCGAATACATACATAGGACGTCCGTTGTACCTTAACGTGCCCTATTGTTTTTGATTTTTATTGTACTGTAGAACAATAAAAATCAAAAGCAAGTGGTTTACTCCATAAAATCTTTAAAATATTTACATCTCTACATCTTAAACTATACGTCCAATTACTGACTACAAGTACAATACATAATAAAAAATGCAAATAAACACTTAATACCCACCAATTCATGGCTAGTATTAGTAGCGCTGCTTTAATTTTAAAAAAAATGTCCTAATTTTTCTATACCATAAAGAAATATCTGAGTCAAAATAAAATTAATACTTTCCCTTTAAAAGCTCTGAGTTTAGTTCAATACAAAACTATAAAAAATCATACGAAATGTATAGACTCTTTAGATAGGTATATACTACTCGTACCTACATGTACAGGTGGAACCTGCATCTAAACTATTAAAACACTGATTATTGTATAGGATATAGCGTGGAGTTTACATATAAATGGGTAAAGACAAAAATCTGGATATTTTCTCCACTGTTTGTCAACTGATTTTGTTCTTTTTTTTGGTTAATGGCTATTGACGAGTCATATCAATGAAAACTTTATGAAGTTTTTTTTACATAGGTAAATAAATTCTGTTTATATACGTTACCTCTAATTTTCAATAATAAATATTATGATAATATTTCGACCGAAATTTCGAATTTAGGCGAACACAACTTTCAATAAAAATAAAATGAGGGGCTACTAATACTAGGCCATTCGACCAATATTAAACTGTTTTGTGCCAATAACCTGATACATAAAAGAGTAGATATTACAATTGTAGTATTTCTGGCTATCAGTAGCGTCGTCGCTTGTTCCAACCTCATATGCTAAAATATACATAATCTAAAAATTTACCTATAATTAAACGGGAGTAAAAAATACAAAAAAATTAGAAACAGCTTTCAAAAATTCTATCTT